AAAAAAAAAGAAGTATAATAAGCTAATAAAGGAAAGAAAACAGAATCATATCAAATGCTGAATTAAAACCCCAAAAGGCAGAAGAGTGGAAGACAAAAACAGAAACAAATGAGAGCTGACTGGTTATCTCAGTTGGTTAGACTATGGTGCTGATAACACCAGGGTCGATGGTTCAGATCCCCAAACCAGCCAGTCACACACACACACACACACACACACACACACACACACACCCCAAAGAACAAAGACAACAAATAGTAAACAGTAACAAATATGGTAGACATTAATCCAACTATATCAATAATGAACATCAATGGTCGAAAGGCATCAATTAAAAGACACACTGTCAGGGGCCGGCCCAGTGGCACACTGCTACAGTGCGCCGCTTGGGAGTGCGGCGGCACTCCCGCCGAGGGTTCGGATCCCGCATACAGACCGGTTCCCGCTCACTGGCTGAGCGAGGGGCGGGCGCGGCACCGAGGGTTGCGATCCCGTTGCCAGTCCTGGTCCGGTACGGGTGTGACACTGAGGGTTGCAGTCCATTGCCAGACACGAAAAAAGACAAAAAGGAAAAAAAAAAGGATTTTTAAAAAAAAAAAAAAAAAAAAAAAAAAAAAAAAAAAAAAAAAAAAAAAAAAAAAAAGACACACTGTCAGACTTAATCAAGAAACGAGACCCAAATACATGGGTTGTCTACAAAAAACCCACTTTAAATATAAAGATACACATGAGTATAGGTTAAAAGTAAATGGATGGAGAAGATATACCATGCTAACACTAATCAAAAGAAAGCAGGAGTAGCTATATTAATTTCAGGTAGAGCAGACTTAGACCAAAGAAAATTATCAGGGATAAAGAAGAACACACTGCATAATAATAAAGAGGTCAATTCTCCAAGAAAACATAACAATCTTTAATGTGTGCACACCTAACATCAGAGTTTCAAAACAACATGAGGCAAACAATGGTAGAACTGCAAGGAAAAATATGAGTAACTGAATCCACTATTGTAGTTGAAGACTTTTTTTTTTTTTTTCCTTTTTGTCTTTTCTCGTGACCGGCCACGGATCGCAACCCTCAGTGTCGCGCCCGTACCGGACCGGGACCGGCCACGGGATCGCAACCCTCGGTGCCGCTCCCGCACCTTGCTCAGCCAGTGAGCGGCCGGTC